AAAGGCTTTTAGTACCACACAAATGTTATGGCATGGTTTAGACACAAGTTCCAAAAAGTCTTCACTTCTTCCGTAAACTTCATGCCGATGCAAATCACGTCACATAAATTGGAATGGAGAGAGTAGTATTACCCTTCTTTACTCTCTTGTGAATGTTCTAAAACGGTCCACTATAACTTACTACTAAGCATGGATCTTTACTGAATATTGCAAGCCTCGTTAAGCGTTGTTGTAAATTGCCCCATAGTGGAGAGCTGCTCTTTTAATTGGAATTGGGTAGAATGTTTTTCTTTTTTAATGATGATGGTGTCCGTCCAGCTAGCGCGCAATTAGACTATCCCATAAGATATCTGCTGTCTCCCAACAACACAGTTACCAAGTAACTCTGCCCATCAAGGCTTAGGAAGATGGGATGAATTCACCTTGTGTCTTTTGTCTCCACTAGGACTTGAACTTGAGAACTCATGGTTCTCCTCCTGCTTCATTGACCACTGGCCACACCCTTGGTTGCTGCACAAAATATTTTCCATATGTGAAAGTTGCTGGTTCATTTTAAGCATGCCTTCTTTTGTACTTGATGAATTAGCCTCAATTGTGATGGCAATCTGGTTGTTTGCAGATTCAACAGTGCTTGCATATGTAATGTCAGAGTTGAACCGTAGACACAACTATGGATTGGATCTCTTCTTACTATCAGTGGATGAAGGCATAACTGGTTACCGAGATGACTCTCTTGAAACAGTCAAAAGAAATGAATTACAGGCAGGGAAAATCTTTTAAAGCTGTCAGTTCGAATCATAGGTCTCGTTAAATAACTACTAACTCTGTAATCTATCCTATGCTTCATATTTATCATTGGCTTTTCTCACTAACCTATGAGAGCAAAACTGCATGAAGCCAAGTTTATCTCACTTGTTTTTCTTAACTTGACCAACATAGTCTGTGTATGTCTTAGGACATAGCTTTTTTTAGCCATCTTGTGCTAGATGTTACAATCCTTTGATGGAGGTGAATGTAACCTTGTCTTTTGTAAACCATAGTGCCTAAACTAGTCATAAGGAACTTCGAATATGAAATATTGCAGTTGTTGCAGCCATTTTCCTATATTATTGTCAAGCAGCAGAAAACCCCCAAAGTTTTACCTCTCTTCCTTTACCAGCATCTTAGTTTGAACCATCTCATTCAAAGCAGCTAAGTCAAGAATGGTATCTTGCATGGTAACAGACAATTTCATCTGCACTTTCATCACAGAAGGACAATGTAAAAGTATATGATTGCGACTCTTTTATACTTCCAGGGTCAGCAAACATTCACTAGGAACTTGCTATATCCAAACATTCTCTGGCTTAGGATAGTGAGGATTCATATTGTCGATCCAACTAACTTGGTTTTGGGGTGTAGTTGTTTATTCTAAATTGAGGAGCTCACATCTTCCACCAATATCTCTTGGTTCTCTGACTATAGCTTTTTTCTCCTCTAATGATGGTGTTCGTCCAGTATAATCTTAAATTGCTACTTTAGCATCACATTAGCATCTGTAGTTGTCATTTTCCAGTGTTAAGATGACGTTGCAGCATCTGGAGTTTCTACACTAGATGAGTTTGATTTTTTGACTAATTTTTAACCTCTATATCCACTCAATTTTATTGTGACGGTGTTATTGTTGTCTTCTCTTTTCAGTATGGACTTCCTCTAAAAGTAGTTTCCTACAGCGAATTGTATGGTTGGACAATGGATGAAATAGTGAAATTGATAGGCTTGAAGAATAATTGCACATTTTGTGGTGTTTTTCGTCGGCAGGTAATTTGACATACTTGCATTTGGGTTTAAGATTATATTTTTCATAAATGTCTCCAACGTCTGGACCCACAATTCGCACCTTCCCAGAAATCTCTATGTAATATATGTCATGCATAAAAGGTACATGCAAGAGTACAAACTAAGTTTTGAAATATGTGGAGTTCTATTCTGTGGCTGACATAGTTTTCTGTTTTTCACTTAGAATGACCAAGCTTAGTTCAGTCTCCTGAAGTTACCTTCTTTGCATTCTTCTTGTAGTTAATATGTTTGGAATACTTTCCATTCCCCTAGAAGTTGCAGTTTCTTGAAACTTCTTCTTCGAAACTGGTAATATAGATATCACAGTGATTAGTTTTTGTTTGTAAGGCTCTTGATCGAGGTTCTGCATTGCTAAAGGTAGACAAGCTTGTTACCGGACATAATGCAGATGATATTGCTGAAACAGTCCTTTTAAATATTCTACGAGGTGATATTGCAAGGTAAAACAAAAAGTGCAATTTAGTTCTCTTTTAAGATTCTCTTCCTCTTTTCCTTCCCCAAATTATTGATAGGCTTTTTACATCTAATTTACATCTAACAAACCAGGTTGAGTAGATGCACATCTATAATTACTGGGGAAGACGGGCCAATACCAAGATGCAAGCCTTTCAAATACACATATGAGAAGGAAATTGTCATATATCCTTTCTAGGTTTTATTGGACTACCCCTTACTATATCCCCCAAGGAGCTGGTTCTTCCTCAGTAAAATCTTAGTTTTCTGATTGTGATCACCCATGACTGTCTTACCTTAATTCGCTGTTTACGTACGCATACTTTAAAAAGCTGGACTACTTCTCTACAGAGTGTAAGTGTATTCTCTTTCCGTCAACTTTCAGTTCTAGTACTAGGACCTCTGGTCTTCTTTATTTGCTGTTATTATTTCCGTTCTCTTTGTTGAAGCCCTTTATTGTGTGCTGTCTGCATGCTGGTCCACCTTATTCTCTCTCTTTCCCTCCTTTACAATAGAAAGAGGTGCAGGTGTTTTTAAAGAGGTTTTTGAGAGAAAGTGACAGTATGAACAAGTCTTAAAATTGCTACATCTTATAATAGTTCAGTATTAAAAATTTATCTCCACATCTGGTCATTCTATATGCCCTTTACTGAACAAAATAATAGTTATGTATCATATACTATGTACATTGCAAAAATGCACTTCAAATATATTTTGTCTAGAATATATGAAAGTAGTAACATCTGAAGTTCTGAACTACTCAAGTACTTCCCAACCACATTATGATTGATCTACTTTTTAGCTTAGTCTGTAGCAAAAAGTTGACCTCTTTCTTAACATTTTCGGTCTGAAGATCCACCAGTATAGACCTAATACTACCTTGTATTGTTCCATAATGTGATATTTTTCGGCTAACTGCTCACTTCTTCAAACTATTATTAGTCTTTATCAATCTCAGTATAATAATATATCGACAAGATTTTACTCTTAAGCTCTGTGAGAGTTGATCAATTAGAGTTGGACGGAGAAAGTAGTAATTTGGATGTTTTTGAATCTGCAACTACCTCCATTGTATGTCCTTCTTGCTCTTGGGAACATTTAACGATCATCTATTGGTAATAATTTTCTTGTATGACATGCATGTAATGTCTATATTATAATAGTTGAACTTTTTACCATTGCCAGCCCTTTGCCCATCTATTGATTATGGTTTTACGGTCATTCCTGGTTGTGGGACATTTCTTTTAAGTATGTATTGTGAAGGTCCGAGCACTCAATGTCGTTGAGGCTTCATTTCTACTACATGTGTCAAAACATATTTTCAATATAATTGTCTGGAATGAGTGGCAGCGACAAGTGCTTGTTTCCTTTAGATGCCATATGATCCAATACTGAAGTCATCTTGCTAATTTGTTTTCGCTTTGTCATATCCTTGTGCATCATCCTAAAAAGTTAGCTGTTATGAAAATGCAGGTATTTATTCCCCTAATGCTTACCGTGGCTTTGCTCGTGAGTTCATTAAAGATTTAGAAAGGATAAGGTAGTTTCCAGTCGAAAGTCTTCCAGAAAAGAAATTTTCTTTAAAAGTGCTTTCTGTGGTGTATAAATTAGTCTTTCTGTCGGTGCAAAATGCTTTTCTTCTTGACAAATAACTATGTAATCATGATAACAGACCTAGAGCCATTCTCGACATTATCAAATCAGGTGAGGACTTTCGGATCTCCACCTCTACAAAGATGCCGGAACAAGGAAATTGTGAAAGATGTGGTTATATATCCAGCCAGGTAAAGATGATTCTTCTAGTGCCTTGCATTTTGCAATACTCGAGTTCTAGCATCTATCTTGACTCGAGATTGCTACTTTTTAGCTTAGTCTGTAACTCGTAAGTGCTGTCATTGGACTATGATACATCAATCTCCTATGCACTGGCAAACTTGATTGGTTAAATTTTCTTCTGAACAATTTTATATCCGTGCTGAAATAGATTTATTTGATGTCCCTGCTCCTGTACGTGATTCATTGTCATTTAACTGTAATTTGATTTTCATTCTTGTAGGCATGTTATAAACGATATTTGTTCTTACTAGTTGTACAGAAAGGACTGCTTGTTAGCATTTAACTGAATTGAGTCCTCACTGGTACATTCCTTGTGTAAATCTGCAGAAATGGTGCAAAGCATGTGTCTTGCTTGAGGGCCTTAATCGTGGCTTACCGAAGTTAGGCATTGGGCGGAGTCGAGATCTTGATAACAAACGTAATACTAATATGAGGCAAGCTAATGGAACACAAAATTTACAGAGCAAGCAGTGTGGAAGCTTGGACTTTTGAATTATCATATAGCTGTATAAGAACGGCTTTAATTCAGGGTACTGCATTAACTATGTATCCGAGTTTGTTGCATTTATGGAGGTCTGAAAGAAGCCTCCTAAGTCCATCCTGCAATTTTATTCAAAAGCTTTTAATAACGTTCTTTTCACTGATACACTTTAATTTATCAATGTATGGGATTAAGCTGGGTTTTTTGGTTGTTGTTGTACTTCAATTTATCAATGATCCAATTAGAATAAGAATTCCGTCACCTCCACCTATAAGACTCTGTAAAGAAGTCCAAATAGATATGTACCTTCTCTGACTTGAGGAGACACAGACACTAGAACAACTGCAGCTTCGCCGTAACAAGAGTACGTTATCTCACTGTAACACTTGCGCAACACAAATTAAAAACCTCATAAAAATATGAAATTCAAGGTCTCTAAGGATTTTCAACAAATGTACAATGAAGATGAGCTAAAATATATGGAGTATTAGCAACATGGGAGTCCTCTTAGGCAACTATGACTTGTTGCGCAACATGGGGCTCGTCTTTGGCAACTATGACATCTCGCGCACCACAAAATTCGAGTTAAGAAATTCAAGGGTCTATCAACGGGTTTTCAACAAATGTACAATGAACATGAGTTAAGACAGATCGAGTATTAGCAAACATGGGAGTCCTCTTCAGCAACTATGACTTCATTAACGAACATCCATGATTCAGCATTTCCTGCATATTCCATCACAACTTCGTTAATCTAAAATGAAAATATATCCAAGAGGCCTCATCCTAGGGCTTTTCAGAACATCAAACTACATTAGAACAATTTCAAATGTAGAAAATAAGATTATATTTGGATCTGCATATGGCAACATCCCCCTTTAAAAACACCAAGCAAAAGCAGTTGTGACATGCAATATAATCATGTGACTCCTCTTGGACTAGTAGTACATCCTTCCTTCATCAAAAAGTAAATCAATCTAACCCAAAGGACATACTCCTACTTTTCCCCCTAATCACTTGAAATCCTACATATCACATACAATTAAATCCAAGAACCTCAAATGTAACGGAAGAGCCGACTGATCTCAGAGATGTATTCCAATTGTGAACAACTGCTAGGACTTCTGATAACTCCCGAGTTGGCACTCATGAACTTGGAGACTTTCTAACATCTTTTAAGAGCTTGAGAAACCTTAAGAGAGCCATCTAAGAGGATTTGAAGGTCTACAATATGCTTAAGTGGTTATTTACAAGGAGGAAACCAAGACTTAGCCCCTCTAGCATATTTTAATTAAGATGAATTCTAAGGGTATTTTGGTAAATTCTTAAATCAAATGTAAAACCTATCATAAATAGTTGCCAGTAGGGTCATAGTTCATTAGTTTTTGTTGATTGAAACATTGAGGCTCCTTGTGAGTGTAAAGGGAAGAACCCTTGTATCTCTTCATTGAACCTCTGTTTGATTTCCTATGTAAGGAATTTCATGTATGAGTTCAATTCTCCTCCCCCTTGATTTTAATCTAGTAATTGAATGTTAGTTTGATTATTAGATTATCCAATCCATACTTATTTTCAATCTCTCGGAATGTTTACTTGAATTCCTTGTCGGTAACATTTTTTTTTATCAACTTCAAATTTTTCTTCTTTCGCTTCTCAAATGCTTAAGGAGCGCAAGATTTTTTCTTTTTTACCCCAATTGAGTCATACCGTGAAGGGCGTCATCAATAATTTAAGCTACTGGATCATTAGGAAGATAAAATGATTTCCAAAAAACAACTAGAAAATAAGATGTTTATACAAAGGAAGCAGCTTCTAATTGGAGTTGTGAATGCCAAAACAGAATTGAAAATAAGATTATGTTCATTGGCAAGGAAAAGTATGTCGTAGAACCTTGATGACGACGCGCCCGCTAAGCGAGGCAAAGCGCTGCGCCTTGTTCAGGGCTTAAGCTCGCTTTAAATGCGCCTTGATAACACTGGCTAAGGCTATATTTTGTGTGGGACCTAGTGGTAATAAAGAATACAATTACTTTCTGAATGGCTATTGCTTTCTGAATCTGTAGAGCACAGATAGCATCTGGAGCTCAGTTGAAATCCTCTTTTCATTAGGTTCTCATACTAAAAACAACCTTATAAATCAACTGAAAGGGTTAGATGGCTTCAACAGAAGGATGATAATTTTTTTGAGAAGAAAAAAAATAATGGTTCTCAGAAAGAAGGCATTGGGTTCTACGATCTGATATCTAAAAGACAAACTAGATACATAGGTTGCCATCCTTCAGAATTTCATTCATAATAGATTGAATGTTGAAGAACAGGTTAAGCTGCACAAGATATCAAATAAGTGAAACCAAAGAAGTTCTCTTCAACTTGAAGAAAGGTAAGGACAGAAGCAGAAGTGTGTACGTATGAATTTTTTCACAGCAAATTGGGATATTGGGCGTTCCGATTTCATTTCCGCTATTGTTAACTTCTTATTTATGCATAACTGTTACATGTTGTTAACTCCTAGACACTGGTGCACACATGGTACCTTCAGAACTATAGCCTGTCGTAATGAGCTCTATAAGGTTATATCTAAAGTTACTAATAATAGACTGCAAAAAGGTTTATATTGATCTGCTAAGCAATAGCCAGTGAAACTAGCTGAGAAAATAACAAATGAGTGTGGACAATGTGCTCTAAGGATTGACATCATGCAGCTACATGAGATAATAAATTGGGCAATTCTGGTGCTATACTCGGCGTATTTGAATTTTTCCAATTGTTTGTCAATTGCATTGATACTTGTCAGCTAATACACAATTCTCAGTGTGTCTAGATGGTGCTCCAGTGGGATATTTGGCTGTGGTTGAGGACTTGGACAGCGGAGCATACCCCTCCCGACCCACTGCTACTAGGAATGGAGGTATTCATAGGAATGTATCAACATAAGCTTCCATGCTCATACTTCTGATTTTTATCGGAGATACCAAGAGAGACAGCTATTGCACACATTCACACAGATTTGGCAATATTGGAACCACTGAGCTGTCAATTTCCTTTATCAAGACTTGCTGCGTGATTTTCAAGAACTTTAAGACTTATGTTGAAACTTGCAAAAGAATTGTGCTTATCTTTCACAAGAATCAAATGAGGAAGGAAGACTTAGTTGGATTGATTAGTTTGCTTATAGCAACTACCATCAGAGTACCTAGAGTACCTCTACTTCTGCAAGCTGAACAACTAAGCCTACATGAACTAGTTGAGGATATCATTAGCAGAACCTATGAGAAGTTGCTCACAATCAGCAGTGCTGCAATGCAATCCTATGAGATTTTTAGTAGGATATAGTTGTTACATTTCCTATGCTTTGACCCACAGCATAAATTGAGTCCTCCCCGCTTGGTTTTTTATTTTTTTCAATTTTGTCGCCAAGCTTGGGGATAAGTACCGCTGCTGCAGTCAGTGACTCCATATAAGATGGAGGATAAGAACAGTCTAGGAGATCCAACATTGCTACCACTATCATCTCCAACACTGATTCTGAGGATTCTCTTACATGTCCAACTAGTGAATAAAGTTGGAACACACTTGTGCATCAATTGTTTCACCTAAGAATCAAAAAACTTATGGAGGCTAGTATGGTTCAAGAAGTGTTGCTATAATCAATGATTTATTAGATATAAAGAAATAGTGTAGAACAAACACTACCCTTTTCGGGGTAGGGGTAAGGTCTGCGTACACTCTACTCTCCCGAGACCCCACTAGTGGGATTTTACTGGGTATGTTGTTGTTGTTGAAGTGTAGAACAAACACAGAAGAGTTGTTACAGCTTCAAAGATGACGAAAAAAATGAAATGACTGAATTATTAATAACTAAAAGTGCTTAAAAGAAAACATATTAGCAGCAGCTTATACATGCATCAAAATTACAAGTAATTCAATGGAGAGAACACAGCCTTCAATTCACTTATACGAATAGCAACGAAAACATAATGTGTACTTTCATATAAAATGAGAGGCCAGGGAAGTAAAACTTTCAGTACCATTGATTTGAATAGTAATTCCTAATCATGCCAATGCAAATTCTACTCACGAGGACTGGATCAATAACCAATATAGCTCGGGTCTCCAGTATACTCAGCAATTTGTTCAAGTCGCACTTTGAGTAACTCCTTCGTATCGCCATCTCGGACAGTTGCAGTCTCATCCTCACTATCCTTATCAACCAAGTGTCCATAAACACCTTTGTGCCTGCCATACAGAACCAGAACGGGACCACCACGCTTTGGCAGAGCTGTCTCAAGCAAGTCCTGATCCACACTTTGTATCAACTCCCTAGTTTCATCCATACATATATCACAAGTCGTCGGCCCAACCACATCCATAATTTCACCTTTCTTTAGATACAACCTTCCCCTTTTCAAATCCCTACTTATAATCCTAACTCTAATGTGACTAGCAAGCCAAGATACTTTATCTCGCTTTTCATCTCTACTTCTTCTGCTGTCCTTTTTCCGCTCCGTTGTCGCTTCATCTCTACTTCTACCATCAAAAGACTGCTTTCTAACCCCATCACTACTATTACTCTTTTCTTCTTTAATCTTCAATTCTTTCAACTTTTTCAAACACCTCTCCTCTTCCACTGAACCCAATTCAGCCACGTCCCGTGCCTGAAGTTTCACCTCTTCGTCTCGTTTCGCAAGCTTTAAAATTACTAAATCCCCGCCGCTTTTCACCTCCAAAACTCTTCCTTTCATTCCCATTTCTTTTCCTCTCACTACCCTCACTTCCTTCCCTACACATATTCCTTTCCCTCCTTTTTCCCTATCTTTCTTCCCACCATTAACATCACTATGATTTCCCTTAACACCTCCTTCACCCTTCTTACTACTTTGTTTTGGTTCTGGTATTTCAGGCGTGAATCCAATGCCTTCTTTTGCTGTCCACCTTTTATACTCAACAGCTTTAACATCTTCTTTAGCATTCCTACCTATCCCTCTACCTTCAACCCACCCATAACCTTTCAACAAAGCAGCCCCAAATTCCTCCACCGGCATATCAGTAAATTCATCTATTCCGTTATGATCTGGTAACCTCTTCATATCTTCTTTAAACTGACGCGCCATCGGATCAATCATTTGGCTGGGGTTAGGGTCAGTGTTAGGGTTAGGGTTTTCGGATTGGCGGAGATTGAGGCCGTAAGAGATGGAATCTGACGACGGATCGACAGCAGTGCCGCCAGTGTCAAGTTCGAATTGGAGCGGTTGATCGGCGGTAGCGGCGGAATCGGGTTGGAGAGGGAGTTCAAGATTTTTCATCCGTTTGATAGGGCGCCATTCGTTGGGTTTTGGAGGTATTATGAGTGCGTCTTTGGTGGAACTCGCCGGAGGTTTGGACGGGTCAAATTCGGTGACGTACTCTTTATCGGTGGGGTTGGTGGAGCTGCGGGGATCGTCGGCGGAAAAGGTCTGAGAAGAAGACGGTGGCTGCTTTTTTAGGTTTGAAGATGGCTTTGAAGAGAGAGAAAACGATAGCTTCATTGTCGCTGGAACCTGATCGGGATCGAAAACTTCAACGTCGGCGAATTTGCCGATATCCAAAACCCGAGAATGATTTATGTGAATTTGATTTGAAGGATAATGCCGTACAAAACCTTAGCCGCTTTGGAATGAAATTGGATTTGTGTCTAATTATATGATTTCGGTGTATTAACAAAAAAAGAAAATACTCCTACTAGTACTATAATTTTAGTTTGTTGCGTTTACCCAACTAATTACTACTACTATTTGGTAAACCAGGAATTGAGTATAATTTGAATTACTTGATAAATTTGCTTGCGCGATAGTAAAAACCCTCATTGTACTAATGGAATAATCTTTATAGTATTAAAATATTAAGAATAATAAAGAAATAAATTAGTATAAAAACTTAAATATGGAGAACACTCCCAACTTATATATTATTAAATAGATAGAAAGGTACGCGGGTTAAGCCCAGCCCGACACCTTAGTATTAGCATGATGTTCTAAAATTTTGTTTTTGTTCTTGGCATAATAGCCTAATAGACACTTGTATTTCTTCTCATTTGATATCCCGGCCCCGTTACTCTATAGAGTTTCAAGTGGACACCCGAACTTGTTCAAATATGATATTCTAAACACCTCCACAGCTGTGTGTTGCTCACTTGCTTGACGTGGATGACATATCAGTGTCCCCGTCAGATTCCCCAATGCTATCTTCCTTGAAATTGCTGCTCAATATGATCTTGTTTTTGGGGGAGGATCCACTAAATGGACCAAAGGAGCACTGTCGGGTCGATAGGCCATGATAAAATAATAATTTACTTTTTTCATATTATTTAAAAACTATATAATTTCTTTTCATATTTTACTCCTTCATCTACTTTATTTTTCCTTCACGAAAAGCACATTTCTTCCATCACATCATTGATGGAGAGTTCCATTACATATTTACTTCAAAATTATAGATAAATAAAGGCAAAATACATAGTTTACCCATCGACCTTATACTCAAATCCCTCTTACACACCTGTTCATCACAGGGATAATATAACACACTCAAACCTTTCAAAAGTGTGTCAACAACACACCCACACCACTTTAGCTCGCGTGTTCTTCACATCAAACATGCACGCAAATGTTTAAAGTTTCATTTCAAAAGTTTTATAAAGAATCCACGTGTCTAATTTTTAACTTTTTTTTTCTTCCTTTTTACACCAATTAACAAATAAAAAAAGAAAGAAAAAATAACCCCTCCCGCTCTTGTCTTCTTCCCTGCCCCAACCCCCAGCCCCCACCCCGTGTGTCTTCTTCCCAATTCCAAACCTCCCCATCTGCATTATATTCTCTAGATCGTCTTTCCCCCCCTTCGTCTTCTTACCCCTACCCCCCCCCCACCAAGGTTTCGTCCCTCTCCCTATTTCGCTTCTTCCCCGATTCAACTTTCTCCCATTCTACTTGTTCTTTTGGTTGCTGAAGATTCGGAATTTCTTCGAAAGATTCTTGGTGGCAGTTGTGTTAGTGAGAAGGGCAGAATTGCAGAAGAAGATACGGTTTCAATTTTTTATTTTGGAATTTTGTTGACTAAGTGGCCTTTGTGATTCTTTCAATTGTGCCAAATAAAGATCTGAAAATTTTCCTTTTCGTTATTTTCTTTTGGCTCATCATTATTGAGTTTTTGGAAAAGGGAAAGATAATGCCAGAAAAGAAAGGATGGTCGGAGATGGAGTTTCAAGTAAAATTCCGGCCGGTTAGTTCTTTGGATATGTTGTTTGTGTGTATCTAGTGTTGGAACTAATGTTTTTGTGCTAACTATGGTAGAGTATTTTTTTTTACAAAGAAGAAGGGGTTGCAATGGTGGAGAAGGTGGTGCAGTGGTGGGGAAGGTGGTGCACTGGATGTTGGATTTTTTTATTTGAGCGAGTCGGATCTTTAAAAGGGTTGGGTGATTAAAACGGTCCTTTTAATTTAGAGACGCGCGTGTCATACACAGCACAAACTATTACTTGGACTGGTCAAAAGTGGTGTGTTGTTGACACACTTTTGAAAGGTTTGAGTGTGTAATATTATCCCCATGATGAACAAGTGTGTAAGAGGGATTTGGGTACAAGATCGATGGATAAACTATGTATTTTGCCATAAATAAATAAGACCCATCAAATAGCTTTACTTAATTTGAAGAAAACTTGAATATTTATTCAATGATTAATAATCACTATCCTTTTTCAGTCACTATCCCATAGAGAGATCCAGTGCAAACTTGAAGATTACAACAAATTTAAACGAGACTCATCAAGAATCTTTACCCAATTTGAAGAAAGTTGGAATCCTTATTTACAAAGCCCACTAGAACCAACTGAAGTCAAATCCCACACTTATAAGTAGCTAAAACAGAAAATCAATTGAATCTTCATATGTTTCATTTGAACTCCACTGGAAAAAAGGAGGGAGAAAGAAGAAGAGGAAGAGAAGAATGGAGGGGAAGAAGAAGAGAAATGGGGGATGGGGAACGGACGGTACTAACGAGGGAGGAGGAAGGACTCTTCAGCCTTTTTTTATTTTTCTTTCACTCTTTTTAACTTTAATTTTTGCCTCTTCTTTTTATTTTTTTCTTCTTATTTTAATCTTTTAAATCAAAATTACAGTGCTCATTCTCTTCGTTCGTGTGCATTACACGCATATTGTCCAGCTCAATTTAGTCAATGACACGTAAGTTGGATCAACGGTCGGAGGGGCTTAAAATAATATATTTGATCAAGTTCAGGTGTCCACTTGAAACTTTATAGAGTAAGAGGACCGGGATGTCAAATAGAAACAAGTACGTGTATCTATTAGGATATTCTGCCTTTGTTCTTTGAAGTTGTGATAACGTTCTCTTTTACATGCTAAACATATAGCAGCATGCCCTACTTATTTTTGCTGTAGAATTTAGTTTGGATCTTAATTAAGAGGTGTAAGTATCTATTATTTCTTCATTGAGAAAGGTAAAAACTCTTAAACCAGCAATAGTTTTTTCAAGATCTTTTTTGCTCTGGTCAACTTTTTCTGCTTTACGAACAAAAAAAACTTGAAAGCTAAATGAAGCTCGATACCATAAAAATATATCTATAATACATGAAACAACCGGTCTCTCTTGTAGTGTTATCAAACTCGTCATGCATGTGCTTAAATAATCAAAGACGACTATTGTAATATGAAATATTTCATAGTTTTTGCGTTATTTCACATTTTTATTATCTCCTATATATTTAAGTTGATGTAACATCCCTACTTTACATCTAAATATTTCAACTTTTTTAGAGTCTCGATTTATTATAATGCTCATTACATATCACTTCATCAATAATACTGCATTTGTGCACATCTCTAAATATTCAAAATGCAACTCAGAGACAGATGATCATGAGGTGTTTGATAGATTCCATTAAATGGTCAACAAATAGAGAGCTAGTATTACTTGTATTTATATGATATGGATACATATGTAATGATAAGTATATCGCCTACAAAGATAAGTATTAAGAGTCACTACTAGAATTCTGGAAAAAAGCGACCAAACTATAGCGACCAAAGTTGGTCTGTCAAGAAAAGCGACCAACGTTGGTCTTTAAATTGGAGAAATAATAAAATAATTATTTTAAATACATTAACGACCAAAGTTGGTCGGTATTTGGTTAATAATTTCGTCAAAATGTTGACCGGACTGGTCAGACTTGCTTGGTCAAAGAAATACTGAGATTAGCGACCAACGTTGGTCGCTATTGTGGGACCCACTTATTAAATTTTAATAATTATATTATTATTTAAAAAAAATTATAAAATATAAATAAATATAATTCAAAGTTAGCGACCAAAGTTGGTCGCTTATAAAATAGAGNAAAAATTATAACATTTATTAATATAGCGACCAAAGTTGGTCGCTTAATATGATTAAAAATAAATAAAAATAAAACGTTATTTACATCTGGAGACCAACTTTGGTCGCCAAATATATAATATTAAAATATTTGAGCGACCAAAGTTGGTCGTTATATGCTTTACCCGGAAAATTTGGTCCTTTTACCTGGGAGACCAACGTTGGTCGCTATTTAGCGACCAACTTTGGTCCCTAAGGTAAAGGGACCAGCTTAATATCGACCAGGCGTGGTTGGTCGCTTTTTGGCCAATAAGCGACCAACGTTGGTCGCTTTTGCTGGTTGCTTTTTTTCGGAATTCTAGTAGTGGAATATGTTACTATAACGACCCGAACGGTCGTTTTGAGCATTTGCACTTTGCTCGGTTATTTGAGGGCACGAGTAGCTCCGTACGATATATTATGACTTATGTGCATCGTCGGTTTTGGTTTTCAGGTTATTCGGAATTCGAATCGGAAGAATGATTCTCAGCTAGAAGCTTTAAATTTGAAAGGTTTGACCAAGTTTTACTTTTTAGTATTTGACCTCGGATTGAATTTTTGATGGTTCCATTAGATCCTTTGGGTGATTTTGGACCTAGGAGCGCATCCTGATTGTGAATTGGAGGTCCGTAGTGGAATTTGGCATGAAATGGCGAAAATTGGAATGGGAAGTTTGACCGGGAGCAGAATTTTTGATATCGGGGTCGGATTCCAATTTCGGAAGTTGGAATACGTCCGTAATATCAATGTGACTTGTGTGCAAAATTTGAGGTCAATCGGACGTGATTTGATAGGTTTCGGCACCGGTTGTGGAAGTTGAAGTTTCAAAGTTCAATGATTTCGAATTGAGGTGTGATTCGTTGTTTCGATGTTGTTATGTGTGTTTTGAGTCCTCGAGTAGGTCCATGTGATGCTATCAGACTTGTTGGTATGTTTTGATGTGGTCTTAAGGGGCTCGAGCGAGTTTCGGACAAGGTTCGGATCATTGTTCTTCATGTTTTCATTGCTGAGGAGCTGCTGGTTCTGGTGTTTCCGCACCTACGACCCATATTCCGCGAGTGCGATGGCCGCAGATGCGAGCCAAACGTCGTAGATGTGAGTTTTCATTGAGGAATGAAGGTCCACAGGTGCGGAGGTATTTGTGCAAAAGCGCGACCGCAGATGCGGTCATGGCCATCGCAGAAGCGGCCTGTCTCACAAATGCGAGCCCTTTTTTCGCAAAAGTGAAGGTTGCAGATGCGGCCCCTTATCCGCAGATGCGAAAGTGCTGGGCAGAGTTATATAAATCGAGGGTTTTGTTCTTTCTTCATATTTTGAGAAGTGGGACTCAGATTTGAGGCGATTA